ACTACTTATCCACTCCCAACCACTACAAACCATTGTAAATATAGCACTGTACTTATGGCATGCAAGTTGACAGTCACTAAAAGTCAAGAAAATGACTTTGTATATGACAAAGCAAACTTCAGTGAAAGAAAACACAAAAAGTCTTACTTCAGAAGTGAGAATAAGCTCGACTGTCTACAATAAAGACTGGAAAAAATAATTACTGATGAAGTTCCAAAACTCTAATACAGAAGTTACCAATACTAAAAATACTTAAAATTTAGAGTGCTTATAGCACTTTTAAACGTTCAGATACATGGTTCAATGTAGTTTTCAACTTGTGATTACAGAAAAAACCAAAACAGACCAAAAGTGTTTTGCAATGATTTCAGCAGGCACAAAAGTTCAATAGCTTACCAAGAAACAGATTCATGGTGCTTTTTCTCTATTTGGAGGGTCAGAAGGGCCCAGGTTACATAAGACTACATCATCATTCACATAAACTTAGCTGCAGCTCTACTGAGTCAGTACTCTTTTTGCATAAACCCCAGACCTGACCAAAGCATATGAACAGCTCAGTGAGCTTCATTTTTGCCTAGAATCGAACATTTCAGCTAACACACAGGAATATTCTATACCTAACTCTTGACTAAAATGTATCTTTATGACAGTGGAAGTAGTCATTTTGTTTCTAAACAGCTTTTTTTAACAACTGAAAGTTAAAGACTTTTTGCTTATGCAGCTGCTACCTCTTCATGCGTGACAATTGTAACAAAAAGTCACACAAGTTTCTAGGATAAATTTAGTGGTTTTTTTAAACATTAAAAGGTTTCTGCAAATGCCAGCTGTCAGCATCAGCAGAACCCCAGTTTGCTCTCTTACCACTGATGTGCCAGGTACATAAAGAATATGCTTGATTTTATAGCTTTGTCCCATACTGGTAATAAGCAGACACACCATCAACACTGCTGTAACCTTGGGGAACCCTGGACTTTCAGGTCAAGAATAAGAACAATCTCTGGTCGTATGGGAGATCGTTCTGTCTAGGCCTGTCAATTGCAAACTCCACCCTTGAAAATGAAGTTTAAAGGACATATTTAAAGGTCAGCCAAAAAACCACAAACAAAAAAGGCGGGGTAAGGGGCTGACACTTGGTCATTTTGAAAGTTGGGCAATGATATAGGGTTGTTCCACTTTCACTCTAAAAGATTATCATCCAAAAGCATGAAAGCATCAACTGGAAAGACTTAGATAGAAAAGGGCTTCCTAAGCCCTTTTTTCCCCCCTCTAAACTTAAGTCAGTGGTAACACTTCATAAACTGAGGAATCAATATTACTAGCCTTTCAACTTATTAGCATTAAAATGCTCACTTTGAAGTCCTGACAGACCGATACAAAATCAATAATTTCAAACATATAAATGACTGAACAAATGCATAAACTGAGAAAGCTTCACTTTTGCTAACTACAATAACCGTCCTGTACTAGTTAAGTTGCCAAGTGATGTTTATACAGAAAGCAATATATTAATGCAAATATAACTATGTAATGTTATTTAAGAGTTTCTAGTTAAAGTATCATAAACACCTATATAAGGAAAAATTATCAAGTCAGTACAAACTTTAGAAGTTGAAGATTGCTATTACTGGAATTCATACAAGTAGCCCAAGCTTTTAAATGTTGTTACTAAGCATTCACAATTTATGAAGTCACAACAAAATAAACTAAGAATGAAAGCAAGCAGAATAAACACCCTCTCATTCTCCTGAGGCTGAAAAACCTGGCCAATTTCAAAGTTGATTTCTGGTAAGTTTTCATTGCCATAATGAACATGTGCAAAACTGATAGGGTATAAGGACATTGCATCTTCATTATACAAGTATTAGAACCTACTTGGCATAATCATTTGCCTTCCTGGATTCACCCACTGTGTTTTCCCTACCACAAACTCTTTCGGGTAAGTTTCTACTGTGTTATCCACCCCATGACTAACTTGGCAGTATTTTAGACTGAATTAAACAACCACAACAGGCAAGCATGGCTACCCTTCACTTAAAGTTTACATACTTAAAACAATAGTGAATAAACCCAACCAATAACAGTGAAAAAATTAGCAAATAATCCTTTTTTTTTCCTTCAATAAAAAACAAACAGACCAACTAAACCTAGCATATAAACTTGCCTGATTCTTAAAAGTCACTTGCCCACCTACACATCACTGGTTCCTTCGATTTTTATAGAGTAATAAAATACTAAGATTATAAACTACAGAAGTGAGGAGTTGAAAGTTTTGTCGTCTCAACCAGGAGTCATTAAAACGTCAGCAAAAAAAAAAAAAAAAAAGGAAGAGAAGAGCTTAAAAAAAAAATCCGCAGGGTGTGGGACCGATATAAATCTGTGAACAAACCGGGATGAATAATGCCACACTTGGTCGTTCCTGACTGCCGGCAGGGTCACGGCACGGCAGGTCCAAACCACGAGCCCGCGGGTTCCCGGCAGGGATGGGGGGGGCGGACACGGCCCCGCCGCCCGCGCTGCCGGCCGGGGGCGCTGCCCGGCCCCGCCGGCACCGGGGGGTTCCAAGGGCAGCGGGATACGCTCGGGGCGGCCGCTGGAACCGGCGGCTCGGGCTCTGCTGCCCCCGGAGCGGGGAAAGGCCGCCCGCGCAGCCGCGGGGACAGAGGCTTCGCCGGGGCTCTCGGGAGAAAAAGCGCCTCAGCCCCGGCGGGCAGGGCGAGGAGGGGACGGACACGCGGTCTCGCCCCTCCGAGCGCCCGGGCACGGCGGGGGGGGCGGGGGCGCCGCACGCGGCCGGCCGGCCCCACACGCCGCCGCTGCGGGGTCGCGGCGAAGGCGACAACAACAACGGCGCCAAAGCCAGATCAGCGTGTCCTGCGGGGCCCACGGCCGGGGGCGGCCGGAGGGGGCGGGAGGGAGAGCGCGGCGCTCCGGCGGGGCCGCAGCGGCCCCAGGCCCGCACACTGCGGCAGCGGAAGCGGCGCGGGGGGAAGGGCAGGGCCCGAGCCCGGCAGGAGGGCCCGGGCCGGCACTGTGGGGGCCCCGAGCGCGCCCCGCGAGCTCCCGACTTACAACGGCATCGTCTCTCCGGCCCCTCCTCCTCCTCCTCCGCCGCCGCCGCCACCACCACCGCCGCCGCGTCGTCCCCTTCTCCCTCCTCCTCTTCCTCTGCGTTCTCCCCCACCGCTGCCGCCTGAGGACCGGTCACTCGTCCCGCGGAGCGGCGGGAGCCACGACCATGGCACGGGCCGGGGCCAGGCCCCGGGAGAGGAGGGAGCGGCTGTGCCGGCCCGGCCGCCGCCGCTTCACTCGCCTCTTCCCCTCCGGCCTTCTAACATGGCGCCCGGGCGCTACCACAGCAACGTCCCGGCCCGGGGGGGACCTGACGCAGCGCCGCGGACACCCCCGCACGGCGCGCACGCTCGCCCGGCCGCGCGTGCGCAGGCGGGAGGGCGGCGCCGCGGGGCACGCTGGGGGATGTAGTCCCGGCGGCGCCGGCCGCGTTTGAAAACAAAGCGCCAACGGCCGAGGGGCGGCGCGTGCGCGGGGCGGGCGTGCCCGGGCGGTCCCGGAGCGGCCCTGAGGGACGGGAAGCGGATCCCGCAAAGGGTCCCAACGCCCTGCGTTGGGCACCCGCATGGAGCGCTTTTTAGTCGTGCCCCACGCAAAGCAAACAGACCCTTTCCTAGTAACTGCTCTTTGAAACCTCTGCCCGTAACAGTTTGCATAAAATTTCGGAAAACTGAATTTAAAAAAAAAAAAAAAAGTCACGTTTTATAAATCAGCTTAAAACTTTATTCTTAGAGAGGTAAATACATTACAATAACTCTACAGAAAACCTCCTGTTTTACCTTATTTTGTCAGTGTCTGGTTTTCATCTTTACTCTGAAAAAAAAAGAACTTTCAAACTAAAAAATTCTCTGAAACTGCCGATTATTTCATTTTCGACTGCCTCACACGATAAATGGTAACCTGAGCTGACAGTATATGAGATAAATAGATCACAAAAAAATCTGTTTCTTTAGAGTAGGACAGGATGGTTCCAAACTCTTCCTGGCTATCATCACTGACTTGTCTGTGTGACTGTGTGAAAACAGATAAAATAAAACTCATAGTGTGTAAAAATATTAATATATCTGAATAAGAACATTAGGCATTCTAAAAATTCTGATACTAAAAGTTACAGATAAAATAGTTGTTTCTATATCACCATTCTTTCAGTTCTACCTCTTTCCCCCCCCCCATTTCTCCCAAAAGGTCCTTGCCTTCTGTTTTGAAAAAATCCTGTATTTGTTTTACACCACGTGTTCTATCAGTTTCAGCTCAGTCAGCATAGATACTGTTTCTGCAAGAGCTGGATGAATCAATAAAATTGGGAATGACAGCCACAAGCTGGAAAGTCTATATTCTTCAAGAATCTATAAAATACATGTAATATCGAATGCTGAGGGTAATTAAATGAGAACTACACCCATAGGTTGGATACCAAAGTAAAACACAGGATTTCTGACATACCTGTACTGGGAAACTGTTTACAAGTCAATCTTCAGTGCAGCACGAGAAGACTATATTGTGTGACTTTTTGCCTCTTGGTAGCCAGGAGGGAAAATAAGTGCTGCTTCTATGTATTTCCATTTTCAGTAAAAACACCATTTTTTTTTTAATAATAGTTTTTCTCAAGCTAGCTGCTTACATTCACTATGGATTAGGAAAATACTATATTGCTTAAATAGAATGTACATCTGAAAATAAATCCAGGATGAAGATTTTGAAGACAGAACAGATTCTTATGGTTCACATTTTCAAACAGACACATGAAATACAGAGGTGTAAATGGATTTATCAATATGTGCAGTAAATGAAACTTTTATAAAAGAAATATTAAAACCCCAATACAATATAGTAATAAAGTATGAGAAATAAAAAGGAAGATTACCTAATAAGCCTAACCAAAAATAATTTCAGAAACTAAGTATTTTTATCTAAAATGTATTAGGAATTTTCTGCATTTTTATTTCACAATTCCCATGGCTGCTAGGATTTAACGATTATTCCAGTCAATATCAGGACTGTTCTTGAAGAGGTATTCTGCCTATAAACAGAAGAGTTTCAAAGTTACAATTATTTTTATGCCTCCAACTTTGAAATTTATGCAAAATAACAACAATATAGTGGATAACATTGCTTTAAAAAATTGCAGAAAGTATTATATGACTCTCTAAAATGTAATTTCTGGCAGTTATGCCAAAGAAATCCCTTTCCCACAAACACCGTCCAAAAAACCATTGACCTCATTCTCCTTCTTGGTAGCAGTCACCCTGTTTCTATTGTAGGTAAGAGAAGAAAGTGAGCCATTTATAACAGTATTTGTCTCTCCATGGAAAAGCCTAGGGAGTACCATAGGGCCTGATTTGTGGACCCAGAGGAGTAGAGGATACTGATCCTTAAAAGCGATGCAGTTACTAGGGAAGATCTCATGCTCATACAGCTACAGGTAATTACCACTCACAAAAAGGTTAATGTAAGAAAACATTCCTTAGTGCCTGAAGTGGCATTGCAACACTCTTGCTTTCATTTTAAACTTTTGCTTGGTTAATAAAATGCTCTGTTTCAGCTTGTTAATAACTTGCTAGGATGTGCAGGAGAACAGGAGCACAGCAGTAACGTTATAGCACCTGAATCAGTGTCTGAATGCAGTGCTGACCCTGCTTTCAGCCCAAAGTTGAAATGGATAACTTCCTGACATCATTTGACACTGGAATTATTCTATGAATGTCCTATGGGATTTTCTCATTAATTTATCTCTGTGCTGTGAAGGGAATTACCACAGAGCTTGCATTCATCATTACAACGATATGTTTGGTTGTGCCTAGAGAGGCGGATGGAGAGTCACATCCCCCTTTCTGAAGGGTTAAAAATTTTATATCATTTGAAAGTAGACATAAGCAGCTAGAATTGTTAGCACACAAACTGAACTTTATCTGAACCATGTGCTTATGTTGTGTAAGTCAAAGATGGATCACAGTGAAACCTGGTGCTAACAATATGAACATTAATAATAGTCAGAATAGACAAAGCTGCAGCTTAAAAATTACTTAAAAATTAATAGCTGGAGTGGACAGCCTGTAGATTGTGTTATATGAACTGCGAAAACCATAGTATGGCATGGACTACAGAACAGACCGAAACTGCCTCTGAGACCCACCTAAGAGGGTGTGAAGGGGATCACTTAACAACCACTGGTAACCAAGCAGCAAAACAATAGAAAGCAATAATAAGACCCCAGCCCCTTACATGGCTGTTGGTCCAGACTGTCCTGTGAGGGATGGGGAGTGTAGATTATAAGGGTGTAATTGCCTTGGGATTTCTTTTGTGGTACCTGGCTCAAGATACCAGATATCATAACCGATTTGTGCCAATGAGCCTACTGGAGATGAGAGCCTAGTGTCAAATGTTTGTTTAACTTGCAGGCTTCTTATGTCACAGCAGAATTGTCAGGGTACATAAGATGTGCAGTGCACATACCAAAGGGAAACAGATTCTGATAGTGATTCTTGCCCTATTACTGTTTCACTGAACTGGATTATGCCCTTACTTGATACACAGTATCAACTGAACCCACAGAGAGTAGTTGCTGGGTTTTAATTTTCACTGTTTAATTTTTACTGTTTAATTGCTGTTCACCAGAATTGCAGATACAAGTTATTAATTAGTTTACTATTATGACAGTGGGGAAAAAGAATTTAAGTCCTTATGTTAGTCCTTTGAGTCTAGATGAATATTGAAACATATTGAAGAAACAAAGCATAATCACCTTACCAGAAAATTGACTGGATCTTCTGGCCTGATCCTACAGCATTCATTTATCCCTTGCATAAGTGTTGGCATGACATTCTTCATTAAATAGTTTCGTAGTGGAAGGGATTGGGCCTCCAGTAACTCTTGTTCTTGTCTTTTCACTTCCTCCTGCTGTTTATTCTACAAGTAATGAAAAAAATTTTAAAAAATAAAATCATACATAATAAGGCTTATAACATCTACCAAATAGCACTTGGCTACATAATGATTATGGCCTAGAGGAAAAAAATTAGCTTTAGAAGCTATGGGCAGAACTTTAAAACACAACTTGGTAGGAAAAAATATCAACTGTTTATTGAATTTAGAACACGTGACACACTGAGGACAAAGAATTAAACATGATGACTACTGAAATAATCTCCTTAGTAAAATTATTTTATTTTTCTTCTTTAACACCTAAAAGGAGATTTATTCCGAAGTCTTCCAATGGTCCTGTTTCCATATGGTACTTAGCAAAAGGATTGGAATACACAGTAGCACTTCAAAAAATAGTACTATTGCAAATGCAGATAGTTTCTTCGGGGTTCTACTCAGAAGAGAGTCCTGGAACTCTAAATATTAAAATGGTAAGTTGTGTTGTGTTTGGTTCCTTTGCTTTCATAGAATCATAGAATCAGCCAGATTGGAAAGGAACTCTGAGATCATCAAGTCGAACCCCTGATCCGCTACCAGTGTGGTTACTAAACCATGGCACTAAGTGCCACATCCAGTCCCATCTTAAAAACCTTCAGGGATGGAGAATCCACCACTTTCCTGGGCAACCCATTCCAATGTCTGATTACACCCTCTGTAAAGAATTTCTTCCTAAACCTCCTCTGGCAGAGTTTGAGACCATGGCCTTTTGTCTTACTGATAGCTGCCTGGGAAAAGAGACCGACCCCCACCTGGCTACAACCTCCTCTCAGGAGTTACAGAGAGTGATGAAGTCTCCATTAAACCTCCTCCTCTCCAGACTAAACAACCCCAGCTCCCTCAGCCTCTCCTCACAGGACTTGTGTTCAAGTCCCTTCACCAGCCTGGTTGCTCTTCTCTGGACCCGCTCCAGCACCTCAATGTCTTTCCTGAGCTGAGGGGCCCAGAGCTGAACACAATACTCAAGGTGTGGCCTCACCAACACTGAGTACAGGGAAAGAATCACTGCCCTGGTCCTGCTGGCCACACCGTTCCTGATACAGGCCAGGATCCATTGACCTTCTTGGCCACCTGTGCACACTGCTGGCTCATGTTCAGCTTTCTGTCAATGCAAACTCCCAGGTTCCTTTCCACCTGGCTGCTCTCCAGCCACTCTGTGCCCAGCCTGTAGTGCTGCAGGGGGTTCTTGTGGCCAAAGTGCAGGACCTGGCACTTGGCCTTGTTGAACCTCATCCTGTTGGAATCAGCCCAACTCTCCAGCCTATCCAGGTCCCTCTGCAGAGCCCTCCTGCCTTCCAGTTGATTGACACGCCCCCGCAGCTTGGTGTCATCTGCAAATTTACTAATGGTGGACTCAATCCCCTCATCTAAATCATCAGTAAAGATATTAAACAGAACTGGGCCCAACACTTAATTTTTATTTCATTGATGTTTTTGAGGGGTTTGAGAGTTAGACTAAAACCACTGTGATTTACATTTGCTTACACCAGCTAAATTTATTCCCAAATTCGGGTTAAATCAAATACAGTTATTTCACTCAAAAAATAGGAGGAGTGAGGAAATAAAACTGCTGCAAATTTCTCTTTCTTCCATTCAAGAGCACTTAGTAACACGCATATTTGCAGTAGCTTTAGGCAAAAGATTATTCCAACTCATTTCCATTGTCCTCTCTTCTCACATTTTATTCATCGGTAGCCTGATGTATATAGATACAGCAAACAGATGATATTCTGAAGACTGCTTTTCTATATGCAATGTTCAGATAAAACCAATACACCAATCACAGAATCACAGAATATGCTGAGTTGGAAGGGACCCACAAGGATCATCGAGTCCAACTCAGCTCTGCACAGGATCATCCCCACGTATCACACCATGTTCCTGAGAGTACTGTCCAAACACTTCCTGAATTGTATCAGGATTGGTGTTGTGACCACTTGCCTGGGGAGCCTGTTCCAGTGCCCAACCACCCTCTGGGTGAAGAACCTTTTCTAATATCCAACCTCCTCTGACACAGCTTCAGGCCATTCGTTTGGGTCCTATCACTGGGCACCTCAGAGAATATACAATCATAATATACATATAATAATATATGTATAAAATAAAATATTTACCTTCTTCACCCAATCCAGGAGTGCTATTGAATAAATCTGGCAAGTGGTCTTTGGTCACTACTCAGAGACAGCAGCTAATCTACAGTCTCAACATCAAATGAACAGTTGCTTACATTTCCTGAGCACCTGCCTATCTAAAAGGATAATCTTAAGAGTACATTTTATTTAAATACGTGGTTTAGCTTTGAGTGATGCACAGTTTGCTCTATTAAAGGTAGATACCATTGGATTGGTTGTAGCTAAAAATGTGTTAACTATATCTAAAAAATTTACAGAGCACAAAATGTTACAGTATGCTTTTGGTATAGAAAAGTATGCTGAAGTTCTAATGTTGTTTAAAGTGAACATGCTTCCAAAATGGTGTTAACTCTTTGTGTAAACCTTTCTCCTTCCCAAGATCCCTTTAGTCCTTACCTGTATCTTTGGAATGTCTAAGAGATAACTGGAAGCTCATCTATTGGTTGTTAACCCTTTCTTGTAATCGGTTGGTTTGTAAGACCTCCTGGACTCCCACTGGTCACTTTGTAATTCCCCCAAGAGCTATTTAAGGAGTCACTCAAGACAATAAACTCTCTCTGCTATGGGGTCTGGTTACAGCAGGTGCTGCAAAGCATCCTGGAAGTTGTAGTTCTAAGTACTCTGTCACACATACTCTGTTGAATGCTTGTATGGGATTGGCTTAAGTTACCTGTGTGACGTGGCAACATTTGAAACTGCTATATAAGCTGAGACTCCTTGAATAAACTCTCTCTCTTGTTACACACCACGTTGGTGTCGCTATGGTCCCCATGGGACTTATTATTTATTATATTAATAACTGCTACATATGGCGCCCGGAACAGGGACCTAAGCCTTATCCTGAATCAGGAAGAAATACGGACCAGACGTCAGGTACCAGCCTATATTTAACGCTGAAGGACGTCCGCCGTGAAAAAGAAAATAACGCCAGGTACCAGAGGAAAGGAAACTCTGATGGGCGTAGGCGGGAGAAACCGCGATTGAGCTCGAAAAAAGGCCTGAATTCGGTAGGAAATTGCCTACGTTTTGAGAGGACGCTCTCGAGAAGAAAAATCTACGTCCCAGGTGAGAGGGCGGGAGAAAATAGAAAAAGAGAAAAAATGAAAACTTTTAATTCACGTGAACCGCAGAATATTGCAAAAGCCTTAAGCTTAATATTGAAAAAACTTTGGAGACAAGTTAACAAACATAAAATAGCTGGACTTTTAAAACTGATGAAAATAACTGTTTTAGGACTGCTGTTATTTACAATGCTTAGTGAAATTACTTGGAAAGAGGGGTGGAGAAGCAGAGAGAAAACAGAAGTAAAAAAGGTGGACACTTTAAAACCCTCCCAAGAGAACTCGTCCACAGAGAGAAACTTTAAATCTTCCCTCCTCCAAACATTGTAAAGCATGGAACTCCACGTGCTACTGCTGTGTGGAAAGGGGGAGGGGGTCCGAGAGTATGGAAGAAAAGCCTTAGAATATACCTTTTTGTGCTGAATTTTCGCGGATGCGTGAATTCCGGGAAGAAGGCGCGTGTCGCGGATTGTGTGACTGGTAAAAGGGAACAAACTTTGAATCCCCAAGCCATGGCAAACTTGCAGACACGTGGAGACCACGCCGGAGCATGGGCGGCGCCATCTTACCCATGCCGGGAGCAGGAGGTGATGCCTTCTCTTCCTGTCTCGTGGCCATGTTGTGGACTGCCTCTGCTGGAGGCATGCATGGAACATGGTCCGTGCTGGGAGCCGGTACCTAAGCAACAGCTGCTGTGCCTACCAGCAACAGCGGCGCGATGTTTAAAAAAGATACGTAATAACCGCTCGACGTTGCGAGCGGCGAGACCGGCGGCGGGCACAGAGCGCGGGGCTGTCGGGACGCTCGGCAGCCGCAGTGAGTCAGGTCGGGGAGGGAGCTGTGCACGGCTCCGCAGGACTGCTGACGGCGGGCGGCGACTCCTGCCCCCCAGGCCGGGCGGCTCCGGGACGGGGCTCGGCAGCGACTTCATCTCGCGGTGCCAGCTGGTGTCGACCAGGCTGCGGCGGTTCCTGCGCAAACCCAGATGGCAGCGGCGGCGGCACCACTGGGAGCGGCGGAACCGGCGCACAGCGTGGAGGGAGCCGGGCGGCTGGAGCGGCGCCGCCGCGGGGCGCCTCTGTCCGGAGGCCACAAGCGGACCAAGGTCCGGCCGAAGCGCAACCGAACGGGAGGCGGTGACCCGAGCGCGGAAGCCCCGCCGCAGCTGGTGGCGACTCCCGCCGCGCCCCCGACCCGCGTAGAGCTCCCGGCGGAGTTCCGCGTGGAACCCCGGGGCCGGGGGGGCAGCCGCCGTTCCTGAGGAGAAGCCGCGGGGCGGCCCCGCGGCCATCCCGGGTAGTCGAGCAGGCTTGCGCCGGGACTATAACACAAGTTTGTTTAAATGCAGCTGGCGCGGGGCGCCGAGAGCGGCGCGGCGGCTTCGGCGAGCACGTGTCGGCGGCGCGGAGCTGCGAGGCTTTCGCCGCCCGCCTGCATCTGGAGCGCGGGCAGCCCGTAGTGACGGCCGGGCCGGGCCGTGCCTAAGGCTGACGGCCGCGTTCCACTACCCGTGCCGCCGCTCCCCTGAAGCGGACCACGCGGCCGCAGCAGCGCGGCCCGGGACAGCTGCACATGCGGCACAGAGCGGGGCCGAGCCGAGGCCCGGCGGCGATGACCAGCGGCATGGCCCCCACCGTGAGCGGGCCGGGCCATGGCCGCAGCCACTCCGGCTCCTCCGGGATCCTCAACAGTGACAACACCGCCTCCCCACCCCCGTGAGAGAGGCGGCGGCGGCCCGGGCAAGGACCCGGGCTGGGACCAAAACTGTACAGACACTGAATTTACTGACTGTTTTTACATGTTTTACATATAACCCTTTAGAAATTATTAGAAATGTTTTTATCTAAAATAATTTAATTAACTATCTTTAATTTTCTAATTGCACTAATAAGAGAGAAAAATTCAACATTACCTTATTAATACATTTTTAAGTTTCTAATTTCCCTGTAGGTTTGTTTAAGTTACTAATAGTCACATTTACTGACTATTGTTTAAAATTGTTAAGTTCTTAAATGTATCTAAATAAGTTTAAGTTTCTAACTATCTCGTTTAAGTAGTAATTAGCATCTTTAAGAATTTCTATTATTATTAGTTAACAAATTATAATAGTAACCTATTCCTTTCTCTAAGTACACACTCAGAAATATACACACTACTTACCACTCTTATACCTTTAAATTCATTAACTTTCCATATTCACAACAAAAGAAGGGGAGTAGGACAGTGAGAATATGCATGTAAATAAGTAAGTAAATCCTGAGTCAAACAATTTTCATTCTGACCACTACATAAAAGTTTAAGTGTATAGCTGGAATATGAAGACAAAATAAAGATTACATGTATGCATGAATGAAAAATGATTGGGGTGACCACCCGAATGAGTGAATGAGAGATTGTGTGAATGTATGAATGTATGTAAACCATACTACACCTTATATATGAAACAAACACAACATACACTACCTCTGCCAAATCTCATTGAAAAAGAACTCAGAACATGATGTTCCTCCTTTAAACTTTTCCTTGTGTTTTAATAAAGTAAATTTTCCCCAGTTATATGTAAACCCTCAGATTGATAAAAGTTTTTGTTCTAACAAATTGCATAGAACTCTTAGGTATATAAGGTTTAATCAAGTGAAAAACGTTTTGTTAAGAATTACACTGTTTTTTGGATTTACACTGTTTTGTATCTTGTTAATAAAAATGGGGGAATTATGGGGTCTGGTTACAGCAGGTGCTGCAAAGCATCCTGGAAGTTGTAGTTCTAAGTACTCTGTCACACATACTCTGTTGAATGCTTGTATGGGATTGGCTTAAGAAGTTACCTGTGTGACGTGGCAGCATTTGAAACTGCTATATAAGCTGGGACTCCTTGAATAAACTCTCTCTCTTGTTACACACCACGTTGGTGTCGCTATGGTCCCTATGGGACTTATTATTTATTATATTAATAACTGCTACACTCTGCCTGCTCTCCCTGCTTGCTGCTGGCGTCCTGGTCTCTCTGGGGGCCATGAGGCACCGCGAGGTGGGGGGGCCAGGGGGAGGGCATGCTCCCCCCCCCGCCCAGCAAGGGGTAAAAGGAAAAGCCCTTTGCCTGGGGTTCCTTCTCCCCATCCACCCTCAACATTCGTCAACAAAATGCTATTTAATGTTGAGTAAAGCTGTAAATAAGTACAGAGATAACAAAAAAAAAAAAATCCTTATTTACAAGCCAACATCAGAGCAATGTAAATGGTTCTTTAAAAGTGAGTAATTTCAGTGTATTATTTCCCCATAGGTGTGTATGGACATTCGAATAAGAAAAGGACTTAGCTGTGGAATGATCAGTTTGGTTTTAAATAGCTCTAAAAGAAGACAATAGATCTGCCTTCTGGGGAAACAACCTGACTTTGGGTGTGAATAAGGACATTCTTACAGTATGCACTTCAGGTTATTTACCTAAAATGTCCCTAGGTGTGGCAAAGTAAATAAGGAAAAAGCATCTTGTGCAAATCATGTGAGGCCAGGTCACTTGAATGCCAAGTACTTATTACATTATTAGCCAACAAAAATCATCTTTCAAACTGCATCAGGCAGTCCCTACTGAACTGAGGACTCAGCTCTTACACATGTTCTTGCAGGCTCAGAAACCTTTCTGCAGCACAGACTGGAATGTTGATCAGTGTTAAGTTAAAAATTTAGTTTGATAATTAAGGCTTGATCAGCTGCTTAGAAGCAAAATGAGTAAAATGCAAAAGTCCTAGAAGAATTGATATGGAAAATTATCATTGATTATAGTAGACATTTATAAATGGTAAAATATAAGAACTACAGCACAGCGACAGCAAGAGTACCATAGAAGTATTTTAAAGACATACAAAAATGTTATGTCTGTAATAAAAAGAGACTACATTCTGTAGGATGGGCTCCAAAATGCACTGTGAAGATAGTCTACCCCAGATCTAAAGTATAATACAAGGCATGAAAGAATGCCTTATATGAGAGAATGAAAATTTATGCCATACTTCTCAAGTGTATTTACGTAAAGATTTCTTGAAGTCATCTAAACATACAAATAATAGTGGTTTTCCAAAAATATGTATTAATAACCTACCCACTCTTCCAATCTTGCCATCCTTTCAGCATTTTCCTCAGCTTCTTTACGCTCTTGTTCAGCTTTTTCTTGGGCTTCTTTGGCAAGGCGTTCCTCGGCTGCTTTGCGTTCCAAAATCTCCTTTTCTTCATCTGTCAAGCCATAATTTCGAGGTTCTCCAATTTCTGTGATGATCTTTTGCACAATAAATCTGTTCTCAGGATCTTCATATATGGGTACATCTTTTAAACAATTAAAAAAAAAACATTTCAAGGCTTTTGTCGATTATCAGTGGACATTAGTAAATAACTGCAGGACCTAAAGATATATGGTGCTCATGTTGTTTGAATTTTCAGGTGTAAGATGTTGCTTTCAGTTGCTTATAAATGTCATTTTTTTGCTACACAGAATGAAATTTTCTAAATCAGATTTTCTTTACAAGCTTCAGCTAAAATAATTTGCATTTTAAGATGATGTAAGGAAGAAATGTATTAAAATAATTTTTATAACTGTCATTTATCAGTTGCAGCTTGCCTAGGTTTTGAAACGTGTAAATGAGCTCAATCAACTGTCAGAGATGTTCCTGACACCAGTCTTATGTCAATTTATCTAGATGCATAACAACTATCAGCTTTGTCCTTGTCTGCCCCCAAAGGCTACAGAATAGATTGTTAGGATTTAGCACAAACTCCAAAGTTTTTACTCATGCAGATTTACAAATATACAGACCTACCTCTAGTCCACCTCTTACTATGTGATATTTACAAAACAAATCTGTAGCTTCAGGTAGGAACATAGAGACTGAGTAAGACCTTCCCTTTCATTCTATTCCTTCTCCCTTTTAATTGCTGGAGGTTATTGGCACATTAAACTTGACAAGGACAAAGGAAAAGTACAAAAGAATGAAGACTTTCTCCAGAGCTTTCGAGATCCAGTAAGGGAGGCAGAAAAGGTACAGAAATGTACATGGAAAAGAGGAAGAGTGGGCATTTGAGGTAGAGAATACAGAGATAAAGGGCTTGTTCAGAGGCAAGAAATGGAAGACATAAAAGCACAGAAATGGGTAAGGAGAGGAAGTGGATGAAGGGAAAAAGACAGAACTAGAATATAGAATTTAGATGAGACTTCAGTAGTCCTTGCTTCACAGTTCTCTGCTTTAGAAAGTTATTTTGAAAGTTATTGGCAAAGCGTTCTTCCCAGTTCTTTCTGATCACCGATTCAGGCAGAAGATAGCTGTCGAATACTAACACCATTCTTCCAACAGTTGAAGTGTTTGTGATTTGGACCTGAAGTCCAAACTCTGCCCATGAATTGAGGAGAAAGATAACATAATTTTAAATTATAAAATTCTTTTACAGCTTCTTCTTTCAAAAAATCAGGAATTGCATTCCTGAAGGATTTCAAATTTAAGACATTTGCTATGACAAGCAGTCCAACGTTTCCACAATTTTAACTGCACCTGGATATACAAATTACAATGAAAATCACTTTTCTAATCACTTGTAGTACTGCTAATACCAGCGTTGAATTTGAGGTCCTAAAGACTACATGGTTTTTCTTAGACGGCCACAGAAGTGTACAATGCACATATTACAGCAATCATAACTAACTACATTTGTCCTCAAAAATCAATGCCTTTTAAATGAAAGATTAGGCAAGCACTGATGCTAATGGAGAGGAAAAATCATCAGAAAATGAGTTAATAAATCAAGGTCTTCCAATTAAATTGCTGCTATAACTTTAACATGCTTTTCGGAAAACAAGATACAAGATAACCAACTTGCAGCCTTCATGCAGTGATTCATTGTGGCAAAGTAGGGTTTACAGAATCTTGAAGCCCACTCCTTTGTACTAATCATATTTCAGACTCAGAAAAAATAATAATCATAAAAATGATACATAAAACCATATGCTACAATTTTCTAAAATTAAGGTAGAAGAAAACTTATTGAGCCAATATTTAACAAATCAAACACAATTTTTAACCCCTTCTTCAGAATATGACTGAGAAAGAAGTTGGCTCTCTGATTAAATCCAATGCAACTTAATTCTGTGCATCTGATAATCCAGATGGAACATCAACTAGAACAGAGGGTATGGGCTGAGTCGAAGGTTCCTCAGTAATTATCTTTGTAATCTGTCCTTACCATTTTACAGCAAAAGCAACATGCTTGCATACTTCAGTGGGTAACAACCAGCAATGTGAATTTTTTCCACTACTATGTTTCCTAACAACACATATATTATTCTCAAAATAATCTCAATGATTGACACTAAAAAAAAAAATCTTAGAAAATCAGTTCTGACCGACGCTTTTGAACAACTAACTTCTCATAATTCGTCTCAAACAGACATTCCAAATACCAGCAGTATGATTTTAGTTGTGGGGTTTTCCCCTTGTTCTTTCTTTCCTCTCCCCTCCCCCCAAAAAAGTCACTTTTTCTTTAGAATGCTGACACTCTGATCTCACTGGTGTTGAATAATCAGATTATAGTAACCTTCTCAAGATTTTCCAGTGATCACAATTTTCTAGATAGTGTGCAGGGAAGAAAAATTTTCTCACATACAGGCAAAACAGATACAGTTCTAGCTTTCCACCTTTAATCTCTAATAATTTTATTTAATGCTTCATAATTTACAGATTACCCATAGTGTTGCAAAATGGGGAATATGTAAAAATTTTCTTGAGAAAGAATGTTCTTTGTTGTTTGATCTTTATATACTTTCAAGTGTAATCAACAAGAAGGGAGATTTAATCTGTGACACAGAGAGCCACTCATAAGCAAGATCCAAGTGATGTCCCTGTGTTAGAAAGACAAATTACTTGTTGGTGGAATTGCCTTGTTATGGTTTAGGACTGGACATGCTTCAATCTCAGACACAGCAAGAGATTAACAAAGTTTGGGGAGAAGGTTATACCACTGATAGAGGATACAAAGAATGCAGAATTCATGGGCCACAAGGACATCCAGCAGAATTCCCAAGATGAGGAAGAAACTGATAAAGTCAACCTCGTAATTGTACTGAAATCAGCTCCGACTGGGTAAAAGGTGATTCCAGCAGGGGGGAGATCATGACCATTCACTCACAGCCCACTGACCCAAGAAACCCACCAAGTCAAAAGAAGAGAGAGACTGAGTACTGGACTAATTAGCATGAAAAGTGAGAGAATCATTAACCAACACAAGACAGGATACTAATTAATAAGAGAACTGTGTAAGTTTTAGCCAATGAACACTAATTCCGTTGTTTGCTAAAATGTATAAATAGTAAAAGGTTTTGGTAGTTAGAGTGTTTGGTTTGTGGAATACTACTGAGCATCCAGGCTTGTGCAACTCAGTGTCTCTTGCATGTGTAATTATTGGCTTGTAGCACACCAGGTAACGATTCTGATTTTTGTGAACAACAATGGTGTCTGAGGATAAGTCTAAAGAAAAAATATAAGCAACCATAATATTGAAAGTCCATGAAAATGTACTATTACAGCTATCTGGAAGGATTCAAGTGCAGAGGTCTGGAACCCAAGTCATAAAATCACTTAAATAATTTAGCTTACGAAAACAAATAACTAAAACTCCAATTTTTAAGAAAAAGCCTAACTGTACAGTAACATTTTTTGCAGGTTATATAATTAAATGTTTGTTGTATATGCAATATGCAATGTTAACAAAAGTATTATTTATATATGCACACTTATTATATGATTTTTCCAAGTGTTAAATTTGTAACAACAAAATTTTTTTTGTTCATATTTTACCCACTAATTTTATTATTTCATACCAATAAACTGAGGATGTATTTCAAGTTCATCAAAATAGTTGAGAACTGTCGTATCATCTGTGTTGGAATCTCGGAAGAGTTTCAGAGATTGCGGGAACCTGTCCTGAGTATAATGAGTCCCAGCAACGACACTCTCTGGCAGATTTGTTATTCTGTTTAGAAGGAATTCATCAGATGCAGTCAAAGAAAAAACAAATTCTGTGAAGAAGAACATAGTGTTTGAATATAGTCAAAATCTCCAAAGAAATCAAGTACTAGCAAAAACACCAGGATGAAGCAATTTCTACGTAGATGAAAACCACATCATTTTAATTTCCAACATAACTGATGTATTCCAATAAACTTGGAAAAAAAAAAAAGAAAAAGTATAAAATAATAATAATAAATATCCACAAACTAAAGCAAAGCCTTCCATTTGATTAAGAAAAATATATTCACCAAAAGGGTTGTCAAGCATTGGAACAGGCTCTCTAGAAAAGTGGTTGAGCCACCGTGCCTGAAGGTATTTAAGGGATAGGAAAATGTGGCACTAAGGGACAGTGATGGACTTAACAGTGTTGGGTTAACAGTTGGATTTCATGTTCTTAGTATTTTTTTCCAACCTAAATGATTCTGTGATTAATTGTTCACTTTCAAATATGAGGGCAGCAGCATTACATGAAATAGATATTTAAGTTAAATTCAATAGGAACAGATGGAGTGATATTTTAGACTTCTCGTTGGTGGCAGCAGTATTTCAAAACTCCTCAGTTTATTTAAAAAGAAATCCATCAAACTTACCAGGTGTGATTATCTTATGACATTTAGGTATTTTGCTTTTTATTTCTTCTTCTTCCTCTTCATCTTCTGCTAAAACAAAAGTAAGAAATGATCAATATTTTCATTTGAAGCAACAATATCACTATATTTGCTAAAAATGTGTCCAGTACAAACACAGGTCTATATCCTGATAATATTAATAGCTGGAAATCAATCTAACCTTGACACCAGTTTAGAGAATTCAATAAGTAATTTATGTTTCCAGCCACCACAGAATTCTACCAGTAATTGTTTTACCTACAGAGCAGCAGCCTATACATGCATACACAATTTTAAAACGTGTTCAACTACAAAACTGCCATCTTGTCTTTGGACTCTCCTCCTACTAAGTACATTATTCTTCCAAAACCAGAGAAAAGGCTCAGAATAGTGAGTGGAAAAGTTTTACAGCTGTATATTTAAAATACTTCCTGCCACTTAGTGTCTGATGTTCTGAATAGTCAATAAAACTGCCTGAAGAGCATCAGCTGAGCATGACCACTTACAGAACAGCATACTAAATTGAACAAGATTGTTTCTTCTTTTCCCTCAAACCTCATATTGTAATTTAAATATGAAGATGATTCTTAATCTTGATCTTAATGTATGCACAGCGCTTGCTCACAATTTGAAAGATTTGTTGCAGATCTTCTCTGAAGTCATATCTACTGTAGCTGATCTAATAAACCCACTCTAATTTGGCTCACAAGATTTGTATTGGTGCACTGGCTGCATCCCCTCATTCAGTGGTCCTTTAATATTAAAGAAATTTTCTGTTGTAGAGCTTGCTTAAGCAGAGTAGATCAACACAAAACATAAAAATATCTTTCTTGTTTGTGCATTTACTTATTACTTTGCCAGGAAAGAGAGCCTGAAAACGATCTTGTGCATAAATTAAATAAGGTGGATTACAGTATTTCTTATGCTCTAAGAATCATGTGTAAACAACTTTGGTTTGTATCCTGCACCGCAGTCATTACAGTGCTGATACAATTCCATTAGTATGGCACTGAGAGCAATAATAATAATGAGAATATTAACAGCAAAAAAACCAAAGGCAGCAACTAAACCAAAAGCAGCAGTACTTACCACGAAAAAGTTCCATTGCCTGACTGTAGGTCTCTGGGAACCCATCTAAAACATATCCCTGATTTTTACAGGGCATAGATTGGAGCTTATCCTTCACAATTGTAACAATAAACTGATCATCTAGACGACCTAAGACAAAGAAGCTTAATAGGTACCTAGTTTATAGAAACAAGATATCTGAAATTATTTTACTAACATTTAAATTCATTTACCAGAGAAACGTCTTCTTAGACCCTGAAAAAGTTATATATTTTGAGTTGCTATTTGTATATTATATGTTGACAATGATTTATGGAATATGAATATGTAGCTATAAAATAAAATCACATTTGTGTTTACAGGGATATAAATATTAGAACTTTAGGAATACTAAACATGAAATTAGTTCTATTTAGAACAATGCAATCAGATTTTAATAGAAGCAGTAAAGAAATATTTATAGAAAAAACGATGAGCAAAGCAATCATTTTCTATTTACATTTAACAGCCTTAATGATAGTTTTGCAAAAAAGAAGTGAGATTGAATTTACAAATTTCATTTTCAGATTAATATATTGAAGTATGAATTGGTTTATTAATTTGTCCTGTATTGTTGAGAAAATATGTGGAAGTGAAAAGGTTGGTTTGACCTGAGTTTTTGTGTTTTTGTAAACATTGGTTCTAGTTTATTTTGCTTTGGCTATGAGAAGTCTTAGATATTTATAACCATAGAATTATGTTATTATTCTAAAAGTCGTTATTATTTTAAATAACAAATCAAAGCATGTAGAAGAGATACATAGGTAAACCTTTAGTGATAGAATGCATTTTTAGTAGGGATCACTTTATACCACATGGAAAATGTTACGCACTGAGTTAAAACCAACATGACTTTATTCATGTATAGATGATAACTAGTACTTTTCAATAATGGCAATTGTATAGACCTTTTTCAATCTACAGACTTTAAAATTCTTTCCCAGCTTCAGTAAATATTATTTACTTTCTAATGAGGTATAAGGTACTTAAATCCCCTTCACAATCTTATATGACTGTGCACTAATGCCAGCTGGCTCCAGGACAGAGCTGGCACTGGCCAAGGAAGTCAAGCAGAGGTGATAGTAACACCTCTGTGATAACACATTTAAGAAGAGAAAAGGTCATTGTGCAGAAGTTAAATGTGGCCAGAGAAGAGAGGATTGGGAACCTGTGAGAGCCCTGCAGACACCCAGGTCAGCGAAGTGCTCCGGGTGCAGCCTGTGGTGAAGACCATGGTGAGACAGACTGTCACCCTGCAGACCATGGAGGTCCAGGGGGGGCAGAGGTCCATGTGCAGCCCATGCAGGAGGCCCACAGGGAGCAGGTGGATGAGCAAAAGAAGGTTGTGACGGCATTGGAAGCCCGCCCTGGAGCAGGCTCCTGGCAGGACCTGTGGACCCATGGAGAGAGGAACCCATGCCAGAGCAGGTTTGCTGGCAGGACTTGTGACCCCACGGGAAACCCATGATGGAGCAGCCTGTTCTTGAAAGACTGCACCCCATAGAAGGGGCCCATGAGGGAGCAGCTCATGAAGAACTGGAGCCCAGGGGGAGGCTCCACGATGGAGAGGTTCATGGAGGACTCTTGCCTGTGGGAGGGACACCAGAGGTAGGACTCCTCTCCCCAGGGAGGGAGCAGCAGCAGAAACAACGTGTGGTGAATTGACCACAACCCCCATTCCCATGTGTTTATTGTGGGAGGAGGTAGAGAACTGGGAATAAAGTTAAACATGGGAGAGAAGGGATGGCAGAAGGTATTTTTAAGATTTGTTTTACTTCTCATCATCCTGCTCTGATTTTGATTGGTAATAAATTTAAGTAATTTCCCCAAGTTGAGTCTGTTTTGCCCATGACAATAATCAGTGAGTGCTCCCTCCCTGTCCTTATCTCAGCTCATGGAACCTTTCATTATATTTTCTCTCACCCTGTCCAGTTGAGGAGCGGAGTGACAGAGAAGCCTTGGTGGGCACCTGCATTCAGCCAGAGTCAAACCAGCACGTTAATGTATAACATAAAACATTGTATTTTATTTTTAAATAAGGTACATACAAATGGAAAGGACGTGATTCTTGTTTTTAATAGGAAGTAAAAGTTCTAGAGCACAAATTTGTTTCCTGATTTTCCATTTGCATAGGGTTGCAGTAGTTGTCTTTAGTATAGTATAGTAACTATAATGTTGTATTTCCTACCTTTATTCAGCTCCATGTTTTCTTTTATTCCATCTAATAACTCCAGTGCTGTTTCTACATTTTCACCCTCCTCCTCTGCCTCATCTCCCCCCTCCTCTACTCCAGTGTCCTGTTCTTTAGCCACAATTTTCTCCTAATGACAAGAACAGAAATATGACTAGGCTCAGAAATTCCATAACCAACTTATTTTATACACAGATGTAAAAAAAGAAACAAAAAATGAACAATTCCTTTCATGTATCTCTTGAACAGTGAGATACTGAACAATCCTGTCTCTAAAAAGAATTCAGTGCAACCCCCAGAAGTGATCAGTATGTCAAAAGATATTTCCATTCTATAATAATGGGGTTATAACTAATTTTTAAATTATGCCAAACATTTTAAAATCACAGAAATTAAAATAATGGGAACATTAGAAATCAGCAACGCACCAGATGTGCAATTTTTTCAGAAATCACATCATCTATCTTAATGTAATGTAGCCTGTAATGTTTGCAGAGCTCCTCAGCAATGGTGGATTTGCCAACCCCAGGAGGACCATGAATGTAAACTTTGAGAGGCTGGAAGAGAAAAGGTGAAGATATGACATCATTCAAACAATACAGATGTTTTTTATGTAAAAGAAACCATCTTTTTAATAGGACTAATAGCGATTATAATTAAAAGTGAAAATATATTTTGGTTCTATCAATTTATTTATTTACTGCTGAATATCTCCTCTATCACCCACAGTCTCTGAGTAAGCCAGTTACTTAAATGTAGAATTTTACTGCTGGAGAGAAAGCACGTTTCTATTCAGTAGACTTACAGACCAATGTATTGTGGCTAATTAATGTTTGAATAATCCAAAGAGATGAAATACAATCCCACAGAGAGGATGCAGTGAATTTTGGAATGAGGTGGCAGATATTATATTATAAACATGCAGTAGTTCTGTTTCCCAATTGTGGTAAATTTGCTGTCACCACAATGATTATTTTCACCTCAAAAATTTCAGATCCATCACACTCTGAAGATATTAATGATTTCTAATTTCAATCAACCAGCCTGAGGATGAGTAAATGTAATTAAGATTCCAGTATACACTTACTAAACATATTATGCAACAAACTCAAAATCATACATAATTAGCTGCCTCTCTTACTTTAGTAAATCTGTCAGCACAAACTCTGAAAATAAGAGTAGTGACAGAGACAGTCTAGACAGCCTTCCCTCTCTTTGTTACTTGGTAGGTCTATATTTTGTACTGATTTTTTTTTTAATTAGATGTGTGTGTACTCAGATACAGTGGTTTAACCCAAACATAGATCTGATAATCCTTTCAGAGCTATGCAGGGACTTTAATGAACAACCTTGAACTCTTATTTGAAGTCTGAACAAGATTTAGTCATGCTGAACACCTTTATCATAGCAATCAATATTTCAGTGTATACAAGCATTTTCCTTCACTTTTCAATAAGCCTCCCTATACAGTTGAATAGAGAAGTTCTAAATATCAAGCTAACTCAGGAAACAGCAAAGTTACCCAGTAAATTATGCAACAGAGCAGGGTGAAATGGAGCCTGCATTGCAACTGAATATCCTGATTCACTAAATATAAAGAAGGACACAAAATACTCACCTAACTATTGACTACTATAAAAAAACTTAAGTAAAAGATACACTTATTGCATTCTTGAAGCAAATACACCAAAAGCACCACTGCATAAATAAATTACCTTCTGAACAGCAGCTTCTCCATCATTAAGCTAATTTGCATTTACAGGATTTCAGTTTTAGGCATAAAGGAAATAAAGCTTAATTGTTGTTTTAATTAATATTGCCTCTAACTTCTACAATTTCATTTTGGGGTTTTATGTTCACTTATTTTGCATCGATGTCAGTTTTCTATGTATTTTTACTTAAATAAATTAAAGCCTGTGTTTATATAACTATTTCTCTTGGGGAGAATGAAAGAAAGGTGCACTTTAAAATAGTGTTCAGCAAAGCATTACCAGTAATCCTCGACTTTCCTTGTATTCCTTGACAACTTTTTCAATGTTCTCTATCAGTCCTGCCTCGGCAACCCAGTTAATGTTGAAAGCCTCTTTCAGAACAGTAGATTCCATTTGCAGGTTCACAAGCAACATGTCCAAATTCATTTGCTGAGGGAATAAAGCTACATTTATTTACAGACATAAGCTATGCATGTTAAAAGAACAGTTAGCTGAAACTAGAAACCAGAATGGACAGGGACAATACAAAGAATTAAAGCATAGGGAAAGAAGGTTTATGCATAAAGCAAAACAGACAATTTAAGCTCTTAAAAATATAAATTTTCAATATATAATTGTATTTCAATGTTCTCTTGAACTATTAGAACATGAAGCACTCAGCAATTATTCTGTACAATGTAAAGGTTTCTTGTAATCCCAAGGAATCACCTCTTCCATAAATTTATCAAGTACCATCTTAAAACTATTTGGATTGTAATTTGTTCATTTCTCCTATGAACAGTTAATTCCAGATAAATAGATGAACACAATACAATTTATGTATGCTATGTTCATCACCTTTAGAAGCACTTTATTATTAACTTATTTTTTTCCTATTTTTATGATTTGGTGTAGGTTTTGCCAGAGTGCTCCAGTATGGTAAGGGGAACAGCAACATCAGTGCTTTAGTGTTTTGTTTTGTTTGTTTGTTTGTTTGTTTTTAAATCAGACTATAACTCCTTAAAGTAGCCTGTTCTATGATGGTTATATTTTTCTTTGTAGATTTTCTAAATTTATAGTATACATTTTTAGGCATATTTTGGAGTTAAATTTTTCTGGTGAAATAAAAAAAGAAAGTATATATTTAATGACATTTTACTTTTAAGTTTATATGCTTCACTGAAGTAATAAAAGAAAGAAAAGTACTGACTGTTAAATCTTTGCTCAGGAATGCATTTTCTTTAGGAATCTTCTGAATTTTTCCTGGTCCAACATTTTTACTGATGCACTATCAAAAATAAAAACAAATAAACAAACAAAACCAAAAACATTTAACAAATCAGATTCGTAGACAAAAATTCAACAGGATTCTGTGAATAAAATGTGTGCTTTAAATTTTATGTTACACTGTACCTGAAAAATCAGAGTACTGATTTGAAATAGATCTAAGAATAGTATATTAATTTTAATGTTAGCATTAAATAGCTTTTGTTTGCTATATGACACTTTCTCTTTAGTACCTGCAATAAAAAAAGTAAAGAAACAACCCAAAACCACTGAAATGTTTGATGAAGTTCTTAAGTCAATGTACAATTTCCTAGTGCTTAAGATCTATTTCGAGATCTATATTATCTGCCAGCACTTTTCACTTCAGGTTCCTGAGGTGTTTAACTCTGTTAACACCCAGGAAGGGTTTTCAGATCAATGCCACTGATAACTCTCCATATATCATCCTCATTTCATCATTAGACAGAAATTGTTAGTTACTCCTACAGCCCTTTAAAATAGATGTAACCCCATTAAATTCCATAAAATCATAAACATTGATATAGACCATCAGATCAAATCTACATACGTTCCAGCATTCTGTCTCCAATGATGTCAGTTAGTGGACACCTAAACTAAAATAAGCATGGGAAAACTCATATGATACTCCTTCCAAATACCCTTCTAATCTTCCACTATTTTCAGCTATAATTCTCAAGGTGTTTCTCTCCCATGTGCCTTTCCAGTCTTCTCCTGGGCTGGTACAGATAACTCCTGTGCCAAGATAACTCTCTTCAGCACTCTCTCCACTGGCAATTTCCCATCCACAAAACTGGCCACCTACTCCTGCCCTCCATTTCCCATTTCTAAACAACCAAGTAACCAATGAAAGGACACAAATCACTCTCTTTGGTGTCGAGCTGCTTCTCAATAGGTATTGGTGAAACACTCCTTTGGGAAAATCAAGTAGACTACATCATCTTGGTCACCCTTACCCACATTGGCTAGTCATAGAATAGAACTCCAGGAGATTTGCAAAGTATTTGAGAGCACCTTTTTGGAAAGTATTTCTTGTGAAAGCATTTTACAAAAGTGGCAGTGGCTCTTCCCAAATAGAATCATATGCATATGGGTATCCTCCAATGCATTTAATTTGTTATATTTTCTTAACAATGTATCTGGTGGTTAGCTGACGTTATTAGGTAGACTGGTTTGTAATTCCCCAAATATTTCAGGAACCTCTCTTTTTACATTGGCACCCCATTTATCATGCTTCAAGTCTTCAAGTGCCAGGACAGTGATGAACAGCAGGTTGTATGTATGAATTTGCAATTCAGAGGTATTTCATCCTGCAGCTATTTGAGTCATCTTCAGTGAATGCCATAAGAATCTGGTGACTTCTTTGTGTTCATTTTGCCAGTGCATTTTATAATCTTTTCTACAGTTACTTTAGTTTTATACAGATCCTCTAACATGTTATCCACAAAGAAATCCTAAAGCATTGATAGGCTTCCAAATTCTCACCCCTATTACAAAGTATCTCTGCTATGTCCTTGTCTTCCAAAGTGATCCTTTTACACCATAATCCTCAGTTTGCCTTATAGATTTTCTGTCAGGCTTTTCCAATTCTTTGAAAAAAATAATTTTGAGTCTTTCCTGATAGTTATGTTTTTCACTTAGCCTGCCAGATTTCATGTTTGTTTTTAAAAAATTATTATTGTTATTTTATTTATTGTTTTATTGTATTCATCTGAACTTTTTGAAGTCTGTCATCTTGTTTTCCTCAACCTACAGTTTAACTGTGCTAATTTTCATTTTCACTTTTTCAAACTTTTTTTAATAAGTAGATGAAAGGGACTTACATGGCTAATAATGTAAGTTTCATTAGTCTCTACCCTTCTCCTACAAGTATTTAACATTTTTAATTTCTTTTGCGACCATTTTTAAATATAATATTCTTTCCTGTGGTTGACCGCAGCTTCAAAATTTATTTTGACCTTTGCTTCTTTTGTAGGAATGTTGACTAACTGTATTATGGTCACTCTTATACAATGGCTCTTCAACTACCAACTTTTCAATGAGACCCCGTGTATTTACCCAAACCAAAGCACAGAAGTCATCTTCTTGTGAGCTCCCTAACACTGTGTTCCATTAAACACACTTTGATACAACAAAAAAATTGGGCTTTTATGTTTGGTCCTTATGTAGCATTTGCCCAATCTACATAAGCAAATCTCCTGTGAGTTGACTCTCATTGTCACAGTGTATAGTTCACATACTTCTGGACTTAACTTTAAAATGTTTGGAAAAAAAAAGGTATTGTTCACAAAACGAGGGGAAAAACATTGTAAAGACTTTGAGTACCTGATTACAGTACTGTGAATCCCATAAAAATTCACCAGAACTTTCTTAGGTAAAGTTTCTCCTTAAATTAATGATAATACCCCAAAAGTTAGTTCTACAAAATCAGGTCCAAGTAGTGTATTCTATTCAAAGGGCAGAAGTCTTGGAGGATTTCAAAATAATCTCCTATATAATTTACTGCATAAGATAATTCAGGAAGACCTTGGAACTTCTACTTCATTAAAATGTATAGTTTTTAAAACCTTACAAATCTCTTCAGAAGAAGTAAAAAAAAAAAAAAAAGATTCAAAATCTCATACCTTTATCAAATCTCTTACCTTTATTAATTCTTCAAGTGTGTGCTTGGATGTATCCACTGCAAGCATATACTGAACTTCTGGTCTGTGGTCTGCTACATTTTGCAACACTCTGAAACACAGCAAGTAGGGCCAGGGCCGATACTTACAGAAGCATACTTAGCTTTCCTTGTTAAATAAATTTCAGGAACATTACCAGGAGTCTACAAATTCTTGCAGAACATTTCAGAGCGTGACATTTTCATATATATTTTACTTAATAAAGCATGGTTGGATATTTTGTTTGGAAAGAAGCTGAAAGAGTAAGAAGCAACATCTGTAGAAGGGGTAGAGTCCACAATCCATTTTCAGTTCTGTGCCAGTTAATTGGTATTGCACTCTAGATCGGGTAAGGCTCATCATTTCTTAAAAGCTCAGCACCAGTGCAACAGTAGGGTAAGGTTTCCAGAAGGCACATCTGGTACTAAAGAAAGTGAAGGCTCTCTTTGACCCAGCAAAAAGGGCCAAAGAGTGACCTTAAACCAACCCACCCTGTTTAAAAGCCTCAATACTCTCTCATGGATTTGGATTTGTGATCTAGCTGGTATCAATTGTTGCCCAGGGGAACTTCTTCCACTTACGCTGCTAAATCAAGAATATGAATGGTTGGAATATAATTCTTTCCATCTTCAAAAACAGGTATTTCAGGAGTCTCACTAAGCCAACACATCTGAAAATACAGAGAATAAAGTGAGAAGAAAAAGGTTACTTTTAACTGGAGTTTAAAAAGGAGCATTTATTTACTAGGGAAATCTATATATTCAGGATTTAAAGTTCAGTTTATTGAGTGATTAATAGAACTGCAGAAAAGAAAATTTTTGGAGAAATACTGATTGGCAGCCTACTGAAAGCAAGAGACCTTTTTTTTTTTTAATTTTTGAACATGTTTTCATCTTGAAAAATGTTATTTTGTATCCCCCAAAAGACAAGTGCTTGGGGAAAAAAAGAAAAAGAAGACTGCAGTGTTGAGAAGAAAGACATTTTTCTGGATTCCATTGATATGGCAGACATGTTCTCACTGTAAAGTACATATGGAGATACTGTCCAAAAACTACAGAAAAATCTAAAACCAAGATAGACCCCAAAAGGTGAAAACCAGTTTCACTGTAGCTAAAATATTTAAAAGGGATCAAGTCATCAGTTCTGCTCATGAAAGCATTAAGCTTATGATACCCAAGCTGCTAAAGATGCGTTCAATTCCAGTGCAGTGTGCCCCTAGAAATTAAATGATTCTTCAAATGTCTACCTTAAAAAAATAGTGGAAGACTCCTTCCTCAGCTCCGTATTGATGTCCTGAGGCAACAACATAAGTTGAAAATTTGTTTTTGTTCTGTGAAGTAAAATCAGCAAGAAAGTTTTTATTAAAATCTGGTACTGCAGTTAGGATACAGGCTTACACTGAACCTTGATTACTTGTATACTAAATATACAAAATCTATAAACTATATTTCTTAAAGTTTGTAACTAGATCACTTGTTGCATATCCTGCAGTCTCTTATTTCCTTCAAAAAAAGGCCCATTGCTCAGTCAAAATTGATCTGTCTACATTTGAATGGAAATTCTAAAAAAATTTAAGAGTTGGAAGAACTGGAAGTTACGTAAATCAAGTAAAGGAACAGGATAACTCATGCTTCAATTTTCTATTTCCAAGAAAAATAATTCTGAAATCCACTGAAGCTATTTTTTCAATCGCAGTATATTTGCATTTATCTACCTAAAGGAGTGAGAAAGGCTGGATCAACGATTTTACAGTTTCTTTACTTTCATTTTGATACACAATTCAAAAAAATAAATCTGTGAACTATTTAAATGTTTTCCTAACCATACATCACGATTAACCCACATATTTTTGCTGACCATTATTGTGTAATACCATAAATTTGCTTGTCTGCTTGGACATACATGATACTGCTTGGATCAATGGTAAGAATGGTTTTAGAGAGAAAAAAGAGATTTTTAAATCATTTAAAGAAGAAAATTTGTCGAGGAAGTCTTTTAAATTAGGACAACTAACTTTGAAATTTTTAAGATAAATCAACATCATTAAAGAGTTGTCATGTTGTAAAGATCCTAGACATTATATATTTCCATCATACTATGTAAAAGAACCTGCATTTACCAACAGTGGGAATAAATGCACAGAATTGGGATCTACATCTTTTCTGTTGAAAAATAAACCTTTTGTTATTTTTATAATATTTAAGGAACATAAAAATAAGGAAAGTCTTAGCCAATCTTTAATTATATCAGCAAAGCATCATATAAAGTGATGACAAGTTGTAACATCAGTTCATTGTATCTGTGTGTTTTTATCTAACCTACTTACCATGTAAAACTTTGTGATAAAAACTACCTCAACTCAGTTGAATTCAACTCGTTATTAATCATAAGAAACACTAAAATTAGAAGACATTACAGGTAGCATAAGAGCTTCCACACTGTAAGGACTTAAAGAGCACAGTTTCCTGTCTCAAATACTGTTAAGGCCACAGAAGGACTTTGCCGTGAGATAATCACAGAAGGGAAGGACAGGATGGCACTAACTCCCAGCCTGGTCGAGGTCAGATCTTGTTGTCTCATCCTGGTTAATGCATCTGGACAAAAATTCCCACTGTGCCAAACTCTGTAAAGAAGCAACTGCTCACACATGTATCAAACAGAGATCACCCCAAGTTTTGGGACAGATGGCATCAGCGGCCACCAACGACCATGGAAGCCCCTCCCCAAATATGCCTCTGTGGATTCCTGGAACTTGGGCTGTAAATTAAGCCACCACAGTAGGAACTTGAGATAAGATAGAAGCAGTACTATTGTCTGGGTGTTATCTCCCCTCGTCCTAGGGTGAGGTTTGCAAAGCCTGGGGAGAAGAACGTGGCACTGATAATGGACACAGAGAACACAGAATTTAATAGCCACAAGGAAAACCAACTCAGCAACTGTGCTTACATCAGCTCTGACTGGGTAAAAGGTAATTCCATCAGGGGGGATCACAACCACCAACTCATGGCCACCTAACAAAGAAACCCACCAGAGAAAGACTGAACATGGGACTAATTAGCATTGGAAGCAAGGGAATCATTTAGCCAATACAATAAGAGAACTGTGCAGCCAATGAGCATTAATTCCTTTGTTTGCTAAAATGTGAAAAGTTTTGAATGGCCTTGGGACCCCCATCACCAAGAAGCCCAAGGTGAGGAAGGACCACTGGATCCATGGGTGATTAGCATCTCTTCTTGATTTCTCTGTCCCTCTCCTCTCTTTTCTCTTTCTTTCTCTCTGCCTCACATTAATTGTTAAGTAAAATGGTGTTATTGACTTCAGCATATGGTCTCGTTTGCACCCAAATTCGAGGAGAGGCATCTCTCAATAATCAGATCTTAACACTCACCGAGTTTTCTTGGGTAGTACCATGATAGATACTGTTTAACCCCTAAGAGCAGCAGCTCCCAGGGTTGCTCTGCAAACATGCCCCAAAAGACAAGTAATAATTTTCATTTCCTAGCAGGAAAAACCTGCTTCTTGTGAAAGCACAGGAGGAGCTATTTCTCATTTCCCCTAAAAAGAATGTAACGCAGGATTTTCTTCTGTGAACCTTGTGCTAACTTCTGCCACTTGTGGAGACAAAACAGTTTGGCACCAAGTGCTATACGTCGCTGAAATGTAAACCTCTAAAACAGGTTGAAGTCCTCTAACAATACTTACTTAGTGTCACAAGTCACGCATATGAGAAGGTACTCCTTGGATATAGTTAATTTTAAAAATGAGGTAATACTTAGGCAAGCGCAGTTCCAGCATGTTTAGTCCCAGGTGAAGTGCCACGTTCCCGTGTAATATTCATTAAAGCCACTAGATGTCACATTCTAGCTGGAATCATCCATTCTAGGCTGTGCTTGTTTTATGTTTGTTTGCTTTATTCTAATAAATTGCTTGAAGTGGGAAACAGGTCTAAATTAATGGGTTCTGGAACTGTGAGAACAGAGCTGAGAGATGAAGAGCTTTTTTGTTTGTGGTAGACAGATATTTCTCCAAGGATTCTGAATTCGGCAGGAACCCAGAGTCAGCAACTTCTGAGGGAAGCTACACAGCCTGTAAGCCCTGCCACAAAGGTAAAAGGTAAAAAATTGCTAGTGGTAAGCAAAGACTTCTAGCTCACAACTCTTACTGGATTTTAATCAAAAAACAGGTGGAAGATACACTAACACAGGTGGATGAAATCTTCCTTTGACCAACAACAGCCATTAAATTGCACTCTAAACAGACACTAAGGCAAAGAAACCCTTCTATTCTTGGTGCAAGGTCTTCTCTACCTGACTGACAAGATTGATGAATCCTGATATTGAATCCCTCTCTTTGTGGGCAGTGGTAACACTGTAATTTCTTTCATTGATGGTACATTCTCTAGATGCCACTCAGTTTAGAAATGAGTAGGAACTGTAATCCAGAAGTCTTGAGCCATCACAGGAAGATAATGTTGATCTCCTGGGAAGAACAGAAGCTCTGGGGCCTTCCTGTTCCAAAGTACTGACACAAACTACCCAGGGGCACTGATACCCATTGATGCCGACTGGAGTTCTGGAGGAAAAGGGTTCCTTTTGAAAGGCCTACAGCAGGTGTGTATTGAAAATATTCAAGTTGTCTTTATCATGGACAGCTACATATTGTTCCACTGTCTTCTCAACAGATGTTCAGCCCAACAAACATTCAGAAGCTAAGATTAATTACATTAATGCTTTTGTTACACAGTGACTCAGTGCTTTGGACTAGTCAGAAAAGTAGAGTCAATACTTCATCTGGGTGTTAGTTGTAGCAGAAGTTATTGCAAGGTTTGATGGACGTTTACAATCTTCATGTTTCTAACATCACAAGTACAAAAGTTGTTTCATGGTCTTATAACTCCATGTTATCACAGTCAAAGAAAAACTAATTCCCCACCACATGATTTTTCAAGCTGCAAACCAAATTTTACTGGTATTCTATACTATTAGACCCATGTTAGAACAGAATATAATGTCTAGCGCTATTTTCTCAGCAGAGCATAAGGTGGTAAATGTATACTCAAATCAGAGCAAAGCTTTCTTCCCCCTCTATTATTACCCTGACAAGGTTCTGCAATGGACACTGAATCAAATTGATTATGTGAGACTGCTAACACGTGTGAAGAATGACCAAATGACATGTTCACCATACAGTGTATTTCACTGTCTTCCTAACCTCCACAGTACTCCATCACTAATGATAACAGCATCCATTTTCCTGAATTGTGAAGCATAACCTGAGCCACTGTTGGTATTTATTTAGTAATAGTTCTTAAATACAAAGTTCTTAAATACAAAAAACATGGTCTGCTCTCTAGTAAGATTAATAATCTAATCAGATCAAAACAAACAAAACTGAAAGAAAGGATTTTAAAATATATATAAGGTGGTAACATATATTTTGGTTATTCTGGGTCAGCTCTATGGCTATGATTTTAAAGTGTATTATAGGGTGGAATAAAAGTCAATAAGCCCTTTGCTCCAAGAGCACAAACTATCCAGGAACAAGCTAGGTATGGTCAGAACATCTTTTGAGTATTTAAATGAGACATAATACTAACACAGCTTGTTAATATTTAAAGATGCAACTTTTATTTAAAGCTGTACTGATACCCCTTTCCTTCACTGTCTTTCATCCTCAAGTCTTTCCCCACACGAGCCCCAGTTTTGATTCTCGCTGATACAACCAAAGAAACAGTATCTTTTTTAGAGGAAATAAGCTTGATTTACTCACTAAACTAAAAAAGACAGATTTTGGGATTTACATTATGCATACACTTAGATTTCAAAAGACATTCTAGTATTTTCTATACTACTATATTTTATTAATTATCGATGTAATCAACTTTTATAAAGAGAATAACATTTTCTTAGAATGTATTCAAATTATTGGTAATTTCCACTAGTAAGATAAAACTATAAGTAAGAAGATAAAGTGATTTATTTTTATAAATACATTCTTTACATACAGTTTTTCCAAGTTTCACAATGAGTTTTTCAGCATTTGTGTGATCCACAAAGTTTGGATGAGGTTTTCTTTTGCGATAATCTTCATCAGTAAAAGGAGCCTCAGGATTTTCCTACAAACAAAAAAAATGTGACTTATACATTTCTTAAAACAGAACAATTTTTGAAGGCCTAGATGGTTAAAGTAAGTTCTTTAACAGTATTTTTAAATCTGTTTTAGCTTGGTTTTCATTTGAAATTCTTAAAGTTTCTGAATCTGATGCCTGAGGGTCAACATTTTGAAAACATCATTAGTTCAATTTCAGTTTTCACAGATTTCACAGAATATTCTGAGTTGAAAGGGACTCACAAGGATCATCAAGTCCAATTCTTAAGTGAATGGCCCATATGGGGATCGATCCCATAACCTTGTTGTTTTCACAGTAGAACACTTTTAACTTTCTTATATTTTAAAAACCATTAATTTTTATTACACAAGGTTACAGCATTACACAAGGTTGAAAAACTCTCTGTAACACTGAATTTGAGAATTGCAATAGCATACTCCAAAGTGCCTAGCATGGTTCCTGACAATGCTTAACGTATATAGATATAGAGATGTATCTATTGACCTGACTATCCACTGTTAAAAATATGTATTTTATTAAATATATAGAGTAAATATGGGATTTCTTTTAATGACTGGAGGACAGTGCATACTGTGGTTAGCATAGGTCTTACCTCTTGACCAACCAGCCCCTTATATCTTTCTGTTTCACTGTAGCCCAAGGCCTAAACTTCTCTGTCAGTGGAATACATTTAACAATTTTGGCAGTAAGTAATGATTCAGGGAGAAAGAATCCTAAAAAAAACCCTCACTTGCTGACACTAACTTTATTAGCTATCATTGAAGTACATACCTGAAACAGATTGTATAATTGATTTTGATGAATATTTTCCATTAAATGGTAATATTTGGTTAAAAAAAGCTTAATGTTTTCATATTACTTACAGGGTCAGTGGGTTTTGTATTTGCCCAGGTCATTATTGTTGAGATGAGGATGAACAACTTTGGTTTTGCAAAATTCTCTATTTCCTTATGTAAGGCTGTTAAATGAAAGCAGGGAGTTAATTTATTTTAAATTGCATTATTCAAACTCTATTTTTGCATTTATATAAAGGTCCTGTATAGACATTCATATCTTAATTGTCTATGTGGTTTGTATTTTTAAGCAAATGTTCTTTATTTAAGTTAATATAAAATAAAGATAATAAATCAGGAATGAAAAGAAATAAAAAAAATAATGGTAATAAAGAATCAAATCACTGGGAACATAATCTTCAAGAACTACATATTATGGGGAAAAAATCCAAACAATCTATATTAGGAAATGATTCATCTTTATTGACTGCTGAGATACTGAAAGGAAATAAAAAGTGTATGTTTTTCATGATAGAAAAAAAGAAAGAGCTACTGAATGCAAGCATATTTCCTTATTTTAATATCAAACAAAATAATTTTTGTTAAGTAAATGATTCTCTTATCCAAATACACTATATATAGCTACTATATAAAGAATAATATTGCACTGTCACTATAAAAGGATTTCAGATGCCTATTAGAATTTGAATGTAGCAATCAGGATAAAGTTTCCAAAAAACTGATAGCAGTACTTTTTATTGGAGTTTATATATATATTTATATAATATATATATTTATATATTTACATATATTTTATGTATTTACATATATTTACATATATTTATATATATTTATATATATTTTTATATATTGGAGTTTATATACTCAAAATCATTATATAAAACATTCAAACATTCTTTTAATATCACAGGAGCAAATTTTCTACCCACCTCTCAATGCAAATAGATGAGGTGATGGTTAACAGTTATTTAGGGAAATAACTGCCTACAAAGCTGTGTCATTTAAAGAGTTGGACCATACCAGGACAGCTTCTCTCCTTTCTAAACATGAGAGGGCACTCCATGGTTCCTTGCTATTTAATCAATTCATGCAGCATTTCTCCATCAAGGAACCCAGTTTTATATTACAGTGAACTATAAATCCCTCATAATTTCATTACATTTCTGACAAATTTTGATGGCTGTACAGCAACCAAATTTCTATTCAGTTGATAGCTATACTAACCAGAAGCAGCCCACGTTGCTTCCTCGATTTGATCTGTATCCTCAGTGATATTATATAAAACAACCTCACACTCAAGCAAGTGATTTAAGAGTTCATCTCGAGGAGAGACCTGAGGGAAAAATAGTTACATTCTGTCATTAAAAACAAACAAACAAACAAAACCACAACAACAAAAAACACCAACCTTTTCAAGTTTAACTTTCAGGTAGAACGTGGTTTTCTAACACTACAATGTTGGAATAATTCATAAGACAGTTATCAAACATTATCTGTCAGATACAAGGAAGCTGATGAAATGTAAATTAAATGGTAAGAGATTTCTAACTTAGAGTACACGTCAACTGTAAACATTTAATGGTATTTTGGGATCCATATCTTTAGCGCAATTGTGAGTCTCAAAAAATATCTGTTACTTGTACAGCTATTTTAAACGTATCAGTTGGCAGAATGAAGAAAACATAAAAAATGTCCATTTCCTTGCAAAATAGCATCCTGTAGTTTTTGTTAAGTGAAGATTGTCTGTATTATTTGAGCAAGCCCAGTAAACACTTTGGGCAAAAGCAGTCGTTAAAAATAAACACCGCCAGCTATAATTTTCTGATTGAACAGATATGCCTGTATAGACATTTGAATCAAAACTTTCAAATGTTTGAAGAGATACTTCAATAAGAAGAAGAATAATCAATTTATAATAAGCAGTTTAAAACAGAGGTAATTCTAATCAAGCAATAAGCAACCATGTTCTCAAAAGTATTCCTCCTTTAGTTAACTAAACTCTGGACATACACATCTTCATACTAAGATGTGCGTTTTCAGCACAATTAGATGCTAGCGAAAGCTTGATTTCAGTGAATGGTTAAGGAGGACACTTTGATTCCAGCACCACTACCTTTAAAATGACGATAAAAGACACAGAGGAGATGAGAAATACACTCTTGAGGGAAAAAAAAGCAGACCTATGAATCATCAAGATAGATGATGTCCTGTCCATAACTTTTTTAAAAAAGCTATTTTGAGTCTGAGTTCCTTCCTTTTACTATTTGCTGTATTAGACCTAGAAGAAATTGGAGAGTGTGCAGGAAGCAGAAGGAATAATAGACATATACAGCTTCCAGCAGGAGCAAAGGACTATTTCATTGCTGCAGGTCATTTTACATGACTTGCAAAAATATTTCTAATGTTGTCTAATGGCAATCTGAAATAAAACTCCTACTTACTGCATATATTTCCTGTGCAAAACGTGGTTTTGTACTCCCTGGTTTAGAAAGAGTACCCACTATTTCGTAGACTTCCTCTGGGCTACTAGGAACCTCAACAGCTTTCTCCTCTTCTTCATCTTCCTCCTCTTCTTCCTCTTCCTCTTCCTTTTCAAGTGACGCCCCAACAACACACCTGGACAAATACTGCAAATATACAAGACACACAATTTGTATGCAAATATCTATCGAGCCCTACACAGCTTCTTATGATCTTGAGAAGACAACAGCACCGCCTGACTAGCCCTGATCCTGTTGGTAAGGCGGGTCAGGACACAGTTTCCCTTTGAGCAGGAAAACGCTGGGGACTGCTCAGCCCCGGCTGCAGTGTTTTGACTTGTGTTCTACGCCTCAAAGCCGAAGGTGCTGGCGGGTCCCTGGACGCCTCTGCTCCGCACCCGGCTCCTCTCAGGCAGGGGCTCCCTCAGCGTGATGTGAGTTCTCTCTAGTTACCTGCTCTCACAGTGACCATCTGCTGCCTGGGCTCTCCCGACCGGCTCTACCCACACCTCCTGCTCTTAACTCCTACTTTTTCTCCTCATTATCTTAACCCTTTCTTGTCCCGGTCCCTCTCCTCAGCAGCTATTTTGGGTGACCCAGCTGTCTGCCCGGCCGAGCTCCCCGAGGACCAGTCGCGGCTCCCTGCCGCGCTACCGAGCCGGGGGCGGGCGGGAGGGCAGCAGACCGCTCAGGCACCAGGCAGCCGCGGTCGGCAGCAGCGGCGGCCCGGCCGGGCGGTCACCTCGCCGATGGTGCGGCCGCAGTAGGAGTCGAGGTGGTTGAGGAAGACGCGACGGCCCCGCGGCGGCTCCGCCATCGCCACAGGCGGCTCCGCCATCGCCACAGGCGGCCCCGGGGACGCGGCCCGTTGCCGAGCGACCGGCGGCGGCTGCGCAGCGGCACCGGCTGAGGGGACGGGCGGTGGAGACAACGGGCAGCGCCGACACCGCCGGGCAGCGCCGACACCGCCGGGCAGCGCCGACACCGCCGGGCAGCGCCGACACCGCCGGGCAGCGCCCAGGGAATCTCCCTGCACAGAGGCAGCGGCGCCAAGGACAGGGACAGCAAAGCCTTTCCAGTCATCTTCAGCTATCCAGACACGGTGGAAGGACATGGCTGTCCCACCTCTGGGTTAACTCTGCAACGCATTTTAAGAAACAACACAAGTTTCTTCTGTCAACACCTACACAATGCCTGTTTTGAAAGTATTGTGTTTATAATAAGCACACAAATTACAAAGCAGTCTAAAGATGTCACCCCCAAAAAAACCCCTCCAAAACAAAACTTAGCAATTTAACATTTAGTTTGGAATTTTTCCACTTGGATTTCTAACTCCCTTTCCAAGCCCCTCTTTACAATCACCTACCTTGTTTTTTCAGGACAAAGTTTCAGCAGAAACAAGTTTGCAGTCAGTGTTTTCCAAATACTTGACACCTATTTGATATTTAAGATTTTTCTAAGGGCATGATGACTTCAGTTGTTCACTCCCCCCCTTTCCAGTAGCTCCACCCCCCACAAGAAAACTACAACACACTAGTACATTTGTTTAATTCTTTAGTCAATGAAATTGAACAAGTAAATTAGTTGCAAGGAAAAATATTCAAATATAAATTTGCTAAAGTACATTCTCCTCACAGAGGACTAACCACGTGCCACAGACCTGTGTGCAAAAAAGAGCCTATGAACAATTTTTGGAGCATGGAAGCATACCCTAGGGCAGAGGACAAGTATCAGAAGTTTCAACACAAAAAGGTAATAATCACAAAATTAAGCTCTTGAAAACAGAAGCAAAAATTACAGTTGTCTTTTCCGTCACAGTTGTACATTATTAACTCAAAGCTATTACAAAAGCTCTACTAGGATTCTCTCATCAATATGACTAACCTATAGCAGGTAAAAGTCAGCATAGCTCTACTGAAATCACTGGAATCTGTGAGAACTGATATTCCTCTAAATGTGGCTCCAAAAAAGCTACTGCATGTACTTGTCATAAAAGCATAGAAGAATAATGGCAGGATTGTTTAAATAAAGATACACAAACACAGAATAATAGAAGAATACAAAAAGTATGAACATCACAGAACATCGTTTCAACTGCACAGGCATTTCTACCCAATTGTAATTTTTAAAAAGTCTATGATTCAATACACACTTGAAAAGTTATAGCAGAACAATATATTTATAAAGAGAAGTGTACCAGTTTTCAAGTAGAAAATACAAGTTATATCTTCCAGTTTGTATTAGTCTTAGCAAATTTCATACAGCCTTTGGTTTCAAACCAATACAATGCAATCATCATTACAGTGCTTATTCAGTATTCATTAGGAGAGGATGCTGTACAATTGAGGGAGAAAATGTGAAAATTGGGAGTACCAAAGTACCGTATTATAGAAAGTAAAGGTTAAAGCAAAAATATTCTTGGGTGTATCCTGTACATCATGTAAACACACATTCAAAATAGTAAACAGGCTAAAATGCCTTCCGAGCCTCCCAAAGAGTTGCAATATAGCATACATGTACATATATATAGCATATATAACATCATCTTTAGGAAATGTGTAGCCCATTAATTCTGTGCTTAATCATTTGCGATTCAGACAATACATTCATATATTAATAGTATATCTCATGTATTATTTGAAGCTTGCTGGTTGTCATAGACAAGGGTAGATCAATTAATGCTGAGCCTTGCTTTTAACTTAGATACTGCCACTCTATAAGCAACGCTCAACTGTTAAAGAATCATCTTTCTTGTTACCAAAGCTGAGAATTTACAGATTTATGTACAGCAAATCAAGCTGAAATTCTTTGCAGAACAGTAGTTTTCCCAACTATTTTTTCATTAATCAGGTACAGCAAGTAGTAAGTTTCTATTTTAAAAAGCCGATATGAAAATTTTCAGTAAGCACACAAAAAATTACTACTTGTATATATAACATTCAGCCTCTATTTTTTTTTTTTTTTAGTTTTGAACAGTAACACTTTGGAAAGACCAAAGTTTTTGAACACTGTAAGATGCAATTTACTTGCTCACAACAAAAAGTAAAATTAAGAATTTTTTATGTTATTTATCAAAGTGGCTTTTAATAGTATTGTGACATATGCAAATCCACGGTAGCAAAATGTTATATACTTGTAAGAACATAGAGATGTTATATGATAATATACTAGCATGAATTAGGCCTTAATGCAAGAAATGAAGCTTAATATGTCTGTAAGGAAGATCTCAGTGCTTCACACTAAGAATTCTTTCTGGCACTAAACCTTCCTTATATCTGGGCAAATCATGACTGACTTTCTTTTTTCAAAGCTTCTAGTCTTTGTAGTAATGCATTTCCAAACACCTCTCGATATGCAGGGCTGAGAGAGTCCAATAAGGAGTAGACAGTTTCATGGTATGGAGTTTGCAGTCTGTCATCAGTCTGATCAAAATCATAAGCTACTACCTGCAACAAAGAAATGGGTTGTTAAATTTCTGTGGTTATGATCACCTTGCAACAAGTATCACAACATTTAAGTTTGCCAGTCACGGTAGTACAGTAATGTGAGAACAAGAGATACTGGATTTAAATCACAGTCTGTGCTTTCTACTATGTAGCTTAATAGTAATACAGTATTTAAGGCAATTTCAAATACCTTCTGTACAAAACTCAGAATATTAGCAAAATATATCATTATGGTTTTTGTCAACATGTTTGCACAAAAATACAAATGGTGCAAAATGGAATTGTATGGATGCTGCATTATTGAGTGCTTTGGGTACCTGAGAAAACCAAAGACTGACACACCTATAATAAACTGCTACTTCAATCTTCACCATTTTGTGTCTCAGATAAATGACTGTTTTTTTATTAATACCACTTCTTGCTTTGTTGGAAGTGACTAGTTAAAGTTCCCTCTTCTAGGAGAAAACACGTAGAACAGGCTTCATAAAAGTACAAGCAGGATATGTATGCTTTTTTGGTGTCAGTGAAGTATTTTTCTAGGCACCTTTTGAACATGTTCATTGTTCAAAACAAAAAAGCTTAAGAAATTATAAATAAATTAGTTTACCCTGAGTCCTGCTTCAGTGAGCTCCAGGCAGTACCTGTTCCTTTCCCTGGTTTCCACATTGATATAAGCCACATCTTCTGCACAGGGAAGGGTTTTTGAGACAAACATGTTGCTGACAGCAAACAAAACATCATTCACAACAGCTTCAGCTTCAAGTCTCATATCTTTCACTTCTGTTCCTTCAAAGTCTGTATAATCAGAATCCTCTTCAAATCCTGTATTATTGGGCAACTCCATAGGATTGCAATCAGTCTCCATTCTGTATATGGAAACATTTATTTGAGATTTATTAAACCATTACACTCAATATTTATTAAGACCATAAAACACAAGATATATTTTAAGCAGACATATTTAACGTTCCAAAAAAACCTGCAAACTATGAAATCTCAATGACAGCCTAGAGAATTCAAACCCAAGATGTTGAGGACAAGTGCTGAAGAAGGTTACATGAGCAAACAGAAGCAATATCAGTTTCACTGAAGTTAGTTTTTCTTAGGCAAGTTAACCCGCATTCTGTTGTATAAGACTGTTATGATTCAGCAGTCATTAATTCTGCCCTTTGTTCATCCAGAATGCAGAAGGAAGACAAGTCATGCCTTGAAAAACTGAAATCAATAGCTGTAGAAAATAAAGACCTATTGTTGGTGAACTTAAGGAAGATTTTGAAAAGTCTGTGACCTAAATGGATTATCGATGACTAAAAAGACATTAACGGGAGCTTTTTGTTTACAGTCACTAAAGACTAATGCTCTTGATCATCTTTCACGCACAGCTGTCGGTATATTTCAGACATGAGCTCCTGCTCTTTGTGAGCAAGTGGTACCAAGAAGGGTCAGACCCAGCGGTTACCGCAGTGGCCTCTCGGGTACCAGCGTGGCCGTGAGGCCTCAGCTGACACCCGTAGGGAACTTGCCTGCAGCAGCAGGGAAAGAGCCCCTTGGGACGCTGCCCCGAGAGTTCTGGCAGCCGAGCCCTGCAGCCAGGAGGGCACGGGGGCTGCCAATCACCGATCCGCAACACGCCAGTCACTCATGAGACTCATCACATCCTGCCAAACCCCACCTCGGACCTACAAACAAATTCCCAAGACTCTGAAAGCAACAGGGGCGCTGGACACCGAGCCGCGCAGCTTCCCGCTTCCCGCGCCCACGGACCGCGCCCCGGAGCGCACCCACCAGCGCCGGCAGGACCCGCCGCCCGGCCCCGCACGGCTCCGGACGCGCCCGCCGCTCCGCTCCGCTCCGCCCCGCTCCGCGCAGCTCCCGCCCCGCCGCTCCCCGGGCCGCTCCCCGCACAGGCGGCCCCGGCGGTACCGCCGGCTCCACTCCTGCGGCCTCACCGCCCCCTCCGCGACCGCTTCCGCCCCCGCCTCCTCCGCTCCCGACGCCACTTCCCGCACGTCACGGAGCGGCTGGCGGCGGGGGCAGGCGGGAGGCAGGAGACAAACAGCCCCGATCGGCCTGGCCGCCCTCGCTGGCGGCGCGGAGCTGACGCGGGGGACGCTGCCCGCCCGCCCGCCGGACCGCGGCCCCTTCCCCGCTCCCCGCAGCGCGGCTGCGGCGGCCCCTCCGCGGCCGCCGAGAAGATGGCGGCGGTGTCCGAGTGAGGATGGAGCTGCCTGTCAGCGTCTCCTCGCCCTGAGGGCGGGCAGTGCCGCCCGGCCGGGCCGTGAGGGGCGGCGGGGTCGCCGCCCGGCAGCGGAACCCCCGCGGTAGCCCGCGCCGAGGGGCGAGGCCGGGCCCGGCGGCTCCCGCTCGCCTGCCTCGCACCTCCGTTCTCCGCCCGGCCCCGTC